ATTTGCTGCTGCTGCGCATGCAGCTGTGAATCGCATACCAACTAGTCCGAGTAGTAATTCAGGTAGACGAACGCCAAGCCCCAGCCACTATTCGATCAAATACGATCACGAAAGCGAGCGTGAACTATTGCTGGAACGTGAACGTGAAAAAGAACGTCGATTAGTGCTGGAACGCGACATAGATATCGAGCGTGAATGCGAAATCGAACGAAACCTTGAGCGTGAGCGTGAACGAGAACAAGAACGTGAAGATCTTCACCATGACGAAATAGATGAAGATCACGATCCTGAAGACTTGAGCATTGCGCGCAAACAAGACTGTAAATCACCAGACTTGCAACGCCATGCCAGTACACCGCATTCTCCGTCCTATGCGGAAAACGGCAGTGGTGTCATTATGCATCCAATGCATGCCAAGGTTAACAGCGAAGAGTTTGCATCTGAGAATGCAGCAAAACTGATGCGCGACGAAGAAAACAACACCGACTGATTGATGCTGTCTATGGCCTGGCAATATGCTGCAGACAGTTGTTACGATTCTTTGTTGTTATTTGGTCGTTGACGCGAATTTTTGATGTTTTTGCCTCCATTTTATTAATTTAATTTTGTTTTTTCTTTTTTTTTGTTACTATTAAGTTTCATGTTAGTGTTTTCAAAATACTGGGCAGTCTCTGAGCACCACTATTTTTTAGGGTGACCATAGGTCTTTTTTTTTTGTATCGACACTAATTTAAAACTAAGCACTGGGGATTATTTTAGTTTTTCGAAAGTGCAATTTGGGTGGGATTGTAAGAAATGCATTTTTCTAAAATTATGCATTGTAATTCATTCTAGCGTATATTGTAAAATTTTAATTAAATGTTTAATGTATGGTATAAGCAATAGAAATTTACAATTAAAACAATTTTGCCGATAATAAGCGACGCTTAAAACGTTGCAATTTTCAATTTAATTTATAAAATATTTTACAAATTTCGTCTTATGTGCGAAAATATAAACGGTGAAATGGCTTTAAGGAAATCAAATATGCATAAATTTAGAAGTAAAAATCAATTGCACATAGTGTAAGAAATACTATTAAAACTTTTAGAATATTTCACATTGCTCAAGTACTCTGCATAAAATTATTTACACTGAAAATTATTAATACCTTAATGTGTAATTATTAAAAGAATCAAATTAATTAATAGTGTAACAAATTTGTCAAGATTAATATATCACCGTGTGCCTAAAAAGGTTTTTAAAAATCTTATATCATTAATATTAGACCTTTAGATTATACATTTAGTTTAGTTTAACAGATTATCAGTTAAGCACTCAAATTTAACACGTTTTTCAAAGGCTGCGAAAAAATGTGCTGTAAATTTGTTGCCATTAAATCTCAAATCATTTTATGCAATTTCCTCACAATTTGTCAAACACTTCATGTTTCCTAGTTAAAATCAAAATATATGTCATAAATATTTATTATAAGACTGATGAGGAAAGGCATAAATATTTTTTGAGCATATAAACACGCAAAGTAAACACAAGAGTTTGCGTTAGTAAGAGGCTTTTAATTTTTTATTAAATCATATGATTACAAAGAAATCATATGATAAACTAATAAATAAATTTTGTAAAATTAAATATTATTATTATTTAAAAAATAAAAATCAAAAAAACAGAAAATTGTAAATTTAAAAGTAAATATATTTTTAATTTAAAAATAAAAAAAATTGTAACAATAAAAATTTCTTAAGAAAGAAAAACTGAAACTGAAACTGAAAAATTGCATATTCAAAATATTAGTTTAATGCCAGTGATTTGTTTTTTAAAATGTTAACTTATAAAATAATTATAATTTTAGTATAAGTTCTATAAGTTCTTAATTCTATGTTTTAAAATGCATATACTTATAACGAAACTACCTCAATTGAAAATTATTTTTAATGTACAAATATTTTTTTTCCTGTGTTCAATTTAATGAGACTGACACTGACTACAAACAAAAAACCATTATAAATATATATTTAAATAATAATTTTAAAATACTAATGAAATTAATTGTTAATATTTGATATGTGACAGTACAGTGCACCTTGCAATGCAAAAGTATAAATGTTTAATTATAAGTTCATGCACGAAGTTTTTATGTATATATATATGTATATAATCGTGCGTACGAGTATGCATTATATAAAAACATATAAAAAGCAAAATAAATAAAATATTTACATAGATTGAAATTTTATTTGATAAATGAATGCGCTGGGGCAATGCAATAGGCTCTCTTAAAACAAATTTATTTTAAAGTAATTACATCTAGTATTAATTGTAAATATTCGTTGTGTATATTGTATTTTACTTTATTAGCGAGTAATTAACTTTATTTTTGTAGAAAATTTTTAATTTTTTAAGATTTTAATTTTATTTTAATACTTAAGTTTTCGTATGTAATCAAAAACACATTTTTAAACGTTTTAAAATACTTTAAGTTTTTTGTTCTTGCAAATTATATATATATATATAATATAAAAAAATATTTTGCCTTCTTCATAGCAGAGCAGAATGACTGAAAATAATTGTTTAAGAAAATATAACAAAAACAACATTCACAAATAATTTTATTTCAATAAAATTTAATTATTATAAAAGATTTATTATTTTTTCACTTTTTTTTTGTCTTAATGATTACAGTTCACAATTGCTACAGTTAATATCTTCTTGAATCTCTTGATTATAGTATAATTTTATACTACAAAATGAACGTAAGTATTAGGTGAGGTATTTAGCACTGCGAGCTAGAGATCTATTATGCCCTATTATTTTCGATAGGCGTCACGTTTTAGTTAAAAACTCATATTTCTAACTCCCATATCCGCAGTCAAGGGACTTTTTCAATTATTATGTAGGGAACTCGGCACTGCGACCTAGAGATCTATTGTGCTCTATTATTTTTAAAAGACTCCTAAATTTAATAAAAAATAATATTGTATTTCATAACAAAAAAAAACGCTTTTATGTATGCCTACACATACATTTGTTTGTGCAGCAATTGTTCTAATGCAATTACCCTCTTTTAATAAATATATAATGTTAATAGATAAATTAATAGATAAATAGTTAATAGATTAATAGTAATACATTATGGAACATCGTGATTGTTCTTGCAGTCTGATTTATTAATTGTTTTACACTAATTTGTGAGATTGCTTGAATATAGGATCCGTTTTTGTTTTAGACGTCTGGATATCTATTTATATGTTTATCTATTTATTAGCGGCAAGTGTTCTGAAGAGAAAAAATATGTAATTCCTAAAATAAAAGTTCTTTTATTAACCGCTTTTCTTTTTATAAAAAAAAATTAAAAATTAACCTAAAACCGTTAAAAAATCATAAAAGATATAAAAGTTTGTAATTGCTGTCATACAGTATTATTATATTAGGTCTGTTCCATGAGGTACTCATAGTAAAACTCAAGTAAAATACAAGTACAAACTGAAAACACAAGTACGCTCTTTACACAGATTTTCATGGAACAGCTTTGTGTAAAATCTGGTGAGAACACCAGTGCTGCGCAAATAAACAATACAAAATTTTAAATTCAAACCACAACATCTGATTCACACATCACACAAATTTCACTTGAAATAAAATGTACGAGTAACGTCTGTGTAGAATTTCAATTTTCGACAGGGATGTTACGCTCTCTTAGATACTTTCATTTGCTCGAAAATTTGGTGGTGGAACGCACTTATGTATACACAGTGTTACTCAATGTTACTATGAGTACCTCGTGGAACAGACCAATAATTTCAATAAAAAAAGTATTTTCGATGGCTCGCAAGTGTGACAAAAAAACAGCAAGTTGCTAGCCTACATTGGCTGAAATGTACGCAAAACAAAACTATTTTCTCTATCTTGGCCAGTAGTTGTTTACTGGCCAAGCACTTCGGAATGTGTAACATACATCAAAGCCTCAAATACTGCCATAAAGCAATTACAGATAGTACAAAATCTGGCTTTAAGAAGACTAATTAAGATTCCTTGGTATCAGTGAAAAAATATATATAGACAGAGCCTTAAAATTATTCACAAAAGTCGATACGTTGTCCAACCTCTCCCTAACAAACCTTAAGTCCATCTTTGGACGCACAGGAAGATATGCTGATCTACGGTCCGTCATCAGTTAAAAGATAAATATATTATAATAATTCTAGTATAGTTAAAGCTTAGTGTGGAGCAGGGATAAGCCCCCAAGCCACAAAAGAGTAAAAGTGCGCAATAGCACTAACTCAAACCACAACAAAAACAACAACAATAACTTCGGGCAGTAAGGACAAAAGTATTACCAACGCAATAAGCGAACTATCGTGAACCGTCATTGGAAATTTCAACGAATATTGTAATCATTTGTCAAACATCAAATATAAACAAAAATTTAAATAAAATTCAAATATATCATAAATTTGAAAATTGGGAAAAAAGAAAAAATTTCAATCTTTTATCTTGAAATTTCTAACATTCTTAACATTCCTTTTAATTCTTTATGCATTCCAATAATCAATTTTATATTAACTATTTATTTTTATTCAAGATGTAATTTACTTGCATTATGCTTTTTTTGCTATTTGCCAAAACATAACACTTGACAGATTGCAACAGTGATGCCAATGCCTCGCTTAGCGAATATAGGTCAGCACGCATTTTTTACCACATTTGCAAGCCACCAAAAACGCCTATATTAATTTTTATTTCTAGAATATGAATAAAACTAAAACTAAGTGATACTGAAAAGTATAAATGTAAATTACAAAAAAATATTTATTTATATACGAAAATCTCTTTTTGTACAAACAAACTGTAGTTAGATTTAAAACAATATAAAAATAAGTTTGATTTATTATTTTTAGAATTATGAAACTATTAACTTGAAACGCTAATAAAACTAAACAAATGACACACGAAAATACACTAATAAATAATTTATAAAGAAAACAACTTTCTGAAACAGAATAATCATTTTTAAATGGAATCGATTGTTGCTAGTAGTGGTTGATACAATTCTTTATCACTAACAAAAAAAATGTTACCATCGCACTGATTGAAATGGAAATATAATTACTTGGTAGCGACAACCCTGGCGGTGGTTGAAAATAATTTGACAGTTTAGTAATGGAAATGCTTCTTCTTATATTGTTTTTCAACCTCAGAACTCGTTCAACTATGTTCAATCGTTCAACGGTGCTATTTGCAATTGTTTGTGTTTGTGTGCAAGGGGAATGTGTTTGACATTAATGTACATATATATATTTATATTTATTTCTGCTGGTGTCAATTAGAGTTTCTAATATCGAATTTTTTGTTGACAAAATAAGTGCTTTTATGGAAATCAAAAAGTGGTGAATGAAAGACAGTCGCGCAGCATGAATGGAGGCGTGGCAAATATTTTCCAAACGGATGAAGCTACTGGTAGCAAGAAACGTAAACGTGGTTTGGCGCCGAAAAAAACGCTCCAAGAAAAGGCTGAATTAAAATTAAGTGTCCAGTTAACCAATCCGAAGATAATGGAACCACCTATACTTCAGAATGGCCACCATAATCAAGTAGAACAACACCTGTGCTCAATTTGTGGTCAGAAAAGCGGAGATGAAATGGTTAACATTAGTGACAAAACCATTACGAACGAAGAGTTCAATGCTCCAAACATTTCTTCAGTAAGTTAACAGATATCAGATTTCATTTTAAATTTAATGTTTTCATATATAACACAGGAATGTACCTTAAACAGTATATGCGTACAATGCGTAGAAAAAGTTGATGCGCAAAAAGACAGCATTCGAACTGGTAAAAACCATTTACAGGGCGCACCAAATGGACAAATGTGCAATTACAAACGCAAGCCCAAAAAAACTCAAGATCCAATGCATGTAGTTAATAAGCCAAACGGACAAACACAAGAAGGTGTCTTAAAAGAGGCAATGATGTCTACTTGTACCAGTGAAACTAGTCGAAATAATTGCCTTGAAGTAGTTAAAGCAGTGCCTAAGAACAATAACTTATGCGGCTCTGATTCAAATCAAAAGAAGTGTTTAATTTTATCGAACCCACCTGAAATAACTTCGATAATAACCATTACATCAAGTACCAGTACAGGTGAAGAAAGCAGGATAATGAACAATAAATCATCAAGTGCGACTTCACAACTATGTAGTAGTGTTCGCGGTTCACTGCATTCAATTCACTCTGTAGATACTCAACAACAGTCTATGCTGGAAGTATATTGTGTTCACTCCGAATCTGCATTAATTACAGAGTCTGGAGGTAAGGTAAACAACTATGAACAAAAATCCGATACACCGAAAACATTAATCTGCCAACATTGTGGACGGGCCTACTCGCGCAAGTACTATTACGGGAGGCATATGCGTCACTGCCATACACGATATCGAAATTTATCAATGCGTAAGAAATCCAAATCGGCGATATATATACGTTGCAGTGATATGGACGCAGATATGCCAGATAATGTGAAATACGAACCATTGTTTCATTGTACCGATTGTTCGTTTTCTTGCCATAGCATCGTCATACTCCGCAAACACAAACGTAGTTGCCATTTACAAATATTTGAGTGTGACATATGCAATTCCGAATATACCACTGCGCATGAATACGATTTTCATCGTACAATATGTGAGGCCAAAAATGAGGTAAGCCAGTCTAGTACATTGCTTTTCCTTACATTGCTTACGAGAGTCTCTTTTACAGGTTCTAAAGAATTCTTATTATGTAACAGACGATGATGATGAGTTGAGCACGTACACAACAATTGGACGAATGACGCGTGCGCGTTCCCGTGCGCTAACTCAAATACCCACCCGCATCACTGATTTGGATAGTGAAAACGAAGATTTTAATAAAGGCGACTTTAATACGGATGACACAGACGATGATGAGGTGTCTGTTGCAGATACCATGTACTCAAATAGAATGCGTTTTACTGGAGACTGGGTGGAAGATCATAGCAACATGCTAGAGTACTCCGATATGTTAGATTATGAACAACAGATTTCTAGTTACAAGGAATACGGTATGGAAAGTTTACTAAAAATATCATTATAATTAACATTCTTGTTTTTTACAGACCTTTATCTATTGGATCGTTTGAAAGATTGCATAGACTCCAACATTTTTATTTGTTTTGTTCCTGATTGCAGTTTTCGCACCTATACTTTGCCTAGTTTAATGATGCATGATTATGTTGATCACTTTCGTCACGCGTGGTTTCATTGTAAAAAATGTGGATGTGTTTTCACCAGAAAGTAAGTATCAGTGTGCCTAATCGTAGAAATGCGTGTACTAAGAAAATTCAGAAAAATCAGTTTAAAAAACTAAATCGTCAAATTTCAATTACTTTTTTTTATCTGTAAACCGATCACTTACATATCGATCGCTTGTAAAGTATAAAGGGCATAAATTATATTTACTGCATTTTTAATACAGTATTGACAAGTATTTAACAAGTATTGACAATTAATCAAGATCTTTATCAAGCAGAAAGCTTTTTGGTATTCAGGGCAAACCTAGTCAATATGTGAATTTGTCAAGTTCACAGAATAGGGGGGTTAATATAAATATTATATTTTAAATATATTTAATATAAAATGAATATATTTTGGTTTAATGCATTACTTAATATTTTACAGTTACTCAATTTTTTTTTTTTTTTTGACTTAATATAACTTTATTAACTCCGTTTTATTCTCTTCCCATTTAGAGTTTTTCTTGACTATCATTTGGACAGACAAAATAGTGGGCGCTTTATATGTTTCCAATGCGGTGACATTTTTGAATTTCAGCACGAATTAAATCGTCATCAAATACTTCACACCAAATCAGTAAATTACCATTGTAATTATTGCAACTTCGATTTCCTCACAAAGCGCGAGCTTCTGCAACATTGCGAGATGGAGCAGCATAATCCTCACGGCATACGTCATCTCATACATTATGACCCCGATATGACGATTGTGAATCCAGTACCGAAAGCTACAGTGTATGAGCGTGGCACCTACGCTGAAAAAATATGCATAATGAAATTGCCTGAAACAGTTTCGAAACGACCGATTGAACTACACAAACCTTATCGAAGAAAAATCGGAGACGTTTTGTTTAAAAATCAAAAAAATCCAAACTGTTGGGGTTGGAAATAGTATCTATCTTTCACCTTTTATTTTTTCATGTGTGAAACAAGTTTCAAGACGAAATGTTGATAATTGTGTGTATATAACTAATTTCATTGATTTATATTCATTGACACGTGACCACCAACAATAGCAATATTCCAATGTAATTCAGATATTCGAACTGTAGCAGAGATGTAGAATAAGCTACTTGCTTTTGAAGTAATATTGTACGTCTTGAAAACACGTATAATTATTTACTTATATATGTATCTAAAACGTGCAAATCACCAACTTGCTTCTTTAAAGTCATATCGAAACAATGCGCACAATATCTCAACGTGCTCGAATGACACCATTGGATGTTAGATATTGCAACTATCAAACGTCCTTTTTTGTTTTCATTCGGGTCATGTTATGCATGCGATCAGCCAGGGACCGAAAATAACAGTTATTTCAAAAATTTTTATGAAAAAAAAGCAGCAACAACAAGTTGTCTAAACTCTCAATTAAGTATATAGTTATCATTCTAACAACTTGTGTTTAGTAGAAGAACACAAATACAAATACAAGATATGAATGCTAAATACAAAAACAAAAACCAAAAGTAACTCTTTACGTGCTCCAACCCTTTAATACATTTTATATGGAATTACAAAAACAACTACCTTGTATGAAAAATGCATTCTATATATTCGTTTTAAAAATATTCGGTAGATCAGTGCAAGTTATTCACGATTTTTATATTTATAACGCAATAATAACAGTTAAATAAAAAGGGTTTTTAAATTAAAAGCAGAATTTAAGAATTATTTATGCGCGAAAAAAATAAAAGACAGAAAATAATGATTTTTGATAAATATAATATAAAGCAAATTTAATTATTATTTTATGAGTTTTATTTTAAAATTCAAATGATAAGAGTTATAAGGTGATTTTTATTTTTTTTTTATAACTGTTACGGTCCCTGCGATCAACACATTTGTTGTTGCTGTCTATGTAAGTTAAAAAATTGAAAATCGAGATGTTAAGGAGGCGATGAAATGATCGTTAATCATCAGGTTTGTTGTTGTTTTTAATGCTTCTAAGTCTTAACTTACATTGAAAACAACAATAATTGGGGTGGTCAACGATTATTGATCGCCTGCGCAACTTTGCTCTTATAAATTGATAAACGCATTGAACGGATTGTACGCGGTATTCAGTTAAAGAATTCGTTAATGAACATATATATTGCATTTGAAGCAATATTTAATTATAATAATATTTAATAATTAAAA